TTATTCATTTGAAAAGGATTATTTATGTGAGAACTATATTTATTTTAAATCTAATTTATATATATATATATATATATATATATATATATATATATATATATATATATGTGTGTGTGTGTGTGTGTGTGTGGAGTCAAATTAATTATAATTGAGGTTTAAATAAATATATACATAAAGTATATTAAATATAAAACTTTATCAATAAATGTGAACACAATAAATGCACTCATATTGCTATTCTCATTTGCAGTAATGATCTGACAAATCTATTAATATTTTTCCTTCTATTAATATGTATTCACACTTGGGCGAATTTTTTTTCACTACTTCATTTTACTTTTAGAGATAGAGATGAAATTGTCAAATTCTCTCTCTCTCTCTCTCTCTCTCTCTCTCTCTCTCTCTATATATATATATATATATATATATATATATATATATATATATATATATATATATATATATATATATATATATATATATATATATATATAATCGCACTCAGGTGCGAATGCTTCGCCCAGGCGCGAAATAGGAATGAATTCTATTCGTCCACATGTCCAGATCTAATGGATGAGAAACACTAATTTTTTTAAAAAATGCGGTGACATTTTCGTAAATAATTGAACATCGAAGTGCAAGTAAAATGTATTACAAGTGCATGTAAAATGTATTATAGGTGCAAGTAAAAATTTACACTGAGCATCAATACTTAGTTGCACCTATAGTTCTAAGTAGTTGCACCTATAGTTCTAAGTAGTTGCACAAATAGTTATAAGTAGTTGCACCTAGGTGTATGAATGTTTGCGAGTGGTTTTCAGGGGTATTACTACCCGCTGAACTCAGATCAATGAATGTTAACAAGGCAAAATTACATGCACTGATAGGTGAAAGTAGGTGCACCTATAGTTATAAGTAGTTGCACCTATAGTTATAAATAGTTGCACATATAGTTATAAGCACACCCAGGTGCATGAATGTTTACGGAAAGTGAATGCTAACAAGGCAAAATTACATGCACTTATAGGTGAAAGTAGGTGCACCTATAGTTATAAGTAGTTGCACCTATAGTTATAAATAGTTGCACATATAGTTATAAGCACACCCAGGTGCATGAATGTTTGCGGAAAGTGAATGCTAACAAGGCAAAATTACATGCACTTATAGGTGAAAGTAGGTGCACTTGTAAGTGATTTTACTTGCACTTCGATGTTCAATTATTTACGAAAATGCTACCGCATTTTTTTTTAAGTTATTAGATCTGGACACGTGTCGCGCGCTGATTCGTTCGCATTTCCCTCCTGAGCACTTATTCGCACCTGAGTGCATCCATATATATATATATATATATATATATATATATATATATATATATATATAACAACAACAACAACAATATTAACTTAAAATTGTTAGACATAAATATGAATATTGCATATGTAATTTAACTAACATTTAAATTTTTGTTTTCAAAAAAAAAACATTTAAATTTTTAATTAAAACTAAACACTTTTTTAAAATTAATATAGGAGAATTAGTAATCGTTATACCCTACACCACGGCGCACATAGCACTGTGCGCCGCGCGCCTCCCAAAACGACGTCGTTTTGGGAGGCGCGGTAGGAAGTTGCTGGGATTATGTGTATTTGTTTACACAATTATGTGTATTTGTTCATACAATTATGTGTATTTGTTCATACAGTTATATACATTTTTATACAATTATGTACATTCTTTTTATACAATTATGTACATCCGAATCAGAAAATTTGTGTGTATTATGTTAAGAGTTGATGTATATTATGTTAAAAGTTTATGTTTATTATGTATTATGTTAGATTATGTGTATTATCTTTTAAAAAGAGTATGTATATTTTGTTATATAATTATGTACATTCATGTATACAATTATGTGTATTATAGTATAACATTATGTACATTTTTGAACAGCGGATTTTTTTTAAAGAAAAAATTACTGTCATTCATTGTGGCGGAGAATTTCAAAAAAAATAAATTAAAACGACGTCGTTTTGCATCTAGGCGCACAGTGCAACGCGCGCCGTGGAGTAAGATATAAATTGCCGAGAATTAGTCCCCAAAAAGAATTCAAAAAATAAAATTTAAAATCCTATGTTTTCTATTTTACAATGGCCCACTCGAAACGTGCAAATCATAACGGTAACCGGAAAATTTTTTAATTGAATTAAATTAAATTAAACAACGATCATTTTCAAAAAAAAAAATTAAACAACGATCAGAGTATATAATCTCTCACCGCGTTGCCCAGCTCGCACTCAGCCGTTGGATCACTTTCCAGAATACGTGGACGCTCGACAATCAGTACCGCTCGACACGGAAAAGAAGTCTTGAGTCTTGACCAGCTCGGCGTCAACCGTAGACCCGGCGCTGCTGAGTTGTCAACCAATGATTAGCTACAGTACAGAATTTAAAAAGTTTAAAAACTAATGTCAAGTAGGTCAATTAACATATACCAGGACTATGTGGTCCAATGATATCTGGGTTGGATTTTCATTTGGAAAATTATGAGTTCGAGTCTCAGTGGAGGCGTTATTAGCTCTTTGTGTTTCAGTAGGTTGAGAATATGAACATATACTACATAGCATTCAATAAACATTTATTTTTTTTTAATTAGGTCACTAAACTTAATAAGTGTGCAATTAAATCATCAAACAAGTAAAATAAGTACAATTGAAAACGTTTCAACCTTTCATCTCAACTAATATGACATAGGAAATGACGATTCTTAGTACATAACATGTAAGTAATATCATCAGATTCTACTAACAAAATTGAAAAATATTTCAATTGCACATATTTTAATTACACATTTTTTTAATGGTTAGCGACCTAATTACACATAAATAATAAGGGTATGTTTGGTTCACATATAGAAATCAAAATCGGAATCAAATACCGGTAATGATAATGAGTTTTGGTAAAATTATTTTGCATGTTTGGTAGTAAGGTGGAATTGGAATGATTATCAATGGTTATGTATGATTATATAATAGGAATAAAAAATTTAAAAATACAAGAATAAAAAATCAAGACAATTTATTCTAATATAAAGACATTCAAAGAACCAATATGAACACAAAAATAAAAATAAAAATAAAAATCTAAAAGCAATAATTCGAACTTAAAAATTAAATTACCAAATAGGAGGGGAATAATGAAATAAAACTCTTATTTTATTAGGAAATTGGTTTTCTAATTAAGGAGATAATCAAATCTTATAATAATACTAGTTTTTTACGCGCATTGCGCGATTGGGGTAATGCACAATATTTTTTAAAATAAGTACTTTAAAGTATATCAAGACAAGATTATATTGAAATTGTTCGTGCATAGATAATTGAATGTTAAATGTACGTATTTAAATAGGCAATTCTAAGTTTACAAATGCAAGATAATATAGTCAAGATTGATTATAATTGTCAATAAAATAATTGTATATGTATGGTTGAAACCAAATACGGGACATAAGGGAAAGTAAATTAAAATTAGGGCATAAAACATTAAATATATACTAATATTGAAAAGTTAATTGCTGATTGCCAAACAAGGACATTGCGAGGTAGTTTCCTACTTCAATTTGTTGTGTGATTTGAATACTCTTTTTCTCAATAAATCCCTCAAGTAGTTAATATGATTGACTTAATTATATATTTTTAAAACTATTATTATTATTATTATTATTATTATTATTATTATTATTATTATTATTATTATTATTATTATTATTATTATTATTATTATTATTATTATTATTATTATTATGTATACCCTTAGGTCATTTTACTTGTTAATCTAAACAACAGCTAATTTTTTTCAAATATCTTTTTACCAACCGTTGATATAATTCGCTGGTCAAATTCGCTAATATAATCCGCTAACGCTAACTGCTGATTGTAAAACAAGGACATTGCGAGATAATTCTCACTTCAATTTGTTGTGTGATTTGAATACTCTCTTTGTCAACAAATCCCTCAGATAGTTAATATGATTGGCTTTATTAATATTTTTAAAAAATTTCATGGTATTAATAAAATACTTGGTAAATAACTATATAGCATTATTTTGTATTATAATTTTGATATTTAATTAAAAAATAGTGCACAAAAAAAAAAGACAATGTAGTGAATATAATCAATTGATGAATTTGAAATTTGAATGTAAAGAATTTTTACTTGGAGAAATATAAAGACAATAGAACTAATAAAATTATATCTCTTAATTAATTTATTGATAATGAATAATTTTTTTTAGTAAAGACATTGTAAGGACAATGTAGCGAACATAATCAATTCATGAATTTGAATGTAAATAATTTTTATATTGGAGAAAAATAAAAACAATATAACTAATGAAATTATTTATCTTATTTAATTTATTGATGATGAATAATTTTTTTTGAATAACGACATTGTAGACACATAATTCTAAATTAAAGAAATGCATATGTATTTTTTTTTTGTAGCTAATAAATTATTATTTAATTTAATAAGACTAATTATGCCAATTTTGATTAGGATGAGGTTCGAACGTATGACCTTTCTTATTGAAATCAATGAGTAAGTTAATGGTGAACTAACAGAAAGTAACGGAAAAGATAATATTTAACAGAAAAGTTAACGGATAATCATATTCATCGAGGATAAATTAGTAAATCTTAAGAAAAAATTAAAATCTGATCCATCTGAGCTATTCATTTGATTAAAAAAAATTGACCGCCATTTTTTCTACCCATTATAGGCCTAACTCTCTTGGACTCTTATTAATATAGTAGATAGTAGATAGTAGATACTAGATTATAGAAATTTATCAACCAAACAATAACAATAATTTTGATTATTATTCCTAATAGGTAAACTCATAAACAAAACACACGCTTATTTCTAAACCGACCTTGGAAAATAAAAATTGAAAAATCCTTATATTTTCTCTCTCCTTTCCCGCCTATATATAGCATCCTAGCCCCAATCTTGTGCTGCCCAACATTTCAGTCTGTCTGCATTTTGTTTCTGAAGATATACATACAATTATCTGTATCTATATTTCCTTCCAGTGTTTGGGTCTACAGCGAGAAAAGGAGAAAGATGGCTTGCTCACGGGTGATTTTTGCCATGATTTTCGCTTTGGTCGCCGGATCAGCTTTGGCTCAGGCTCCGGGAGCCTCGCCGGCTGCTTCGCCGAAGAAATCTCCTTCTCCGGTTGCATCTCCTCCGAAGTCGGTTGCGACGCCTACTGCGACTCCCGTCGCCGCTCCTACTCAGGCTCCGACCGCTTCCCCCCCTACCGACTCACCGCTGTCTTCTCCACCGGCTCTTCCAACTGACGCCTCGTCTCCCGCCGGCGCTCCTGCTACTCCTACCTCCATCGCCTCTCCTCCTGGCGCTTCGGCTCCCGGCTCGTCTCCTGCCTCTCCTCCCAGCGCCGCCGCTTTGAACAGAGTCGCCCTGGCCGGATCCGCCGCTGTGGCGTTCTTCGCCGCCTCACTGCTGTTCTAAATTCTCCGATCTGCGAGTTGACTGAGTTTTCGGTCACATTCTCACCGGAGTTGGATGATTTAGGAATTTTACTTAGTTATATATTTTTTATTTTTTACTTTCGTGTTTATTGCTCCGCGTTTTGACGGCGGCGGTGTTTATCGGTGGTGGCGATTGAGATTGAGGACATATTACATTACATTATCTGCGTTGATTTGTTGTTGACTCATGGTTGTTCATTACTATTGTTATTAATATTATTCTTATTATCATTATTTCGATGAAAATTTTTATTTATGCTTTATTATCCTTTCGATCTCTCTTACTGTTGGAACAGAAAAACAATGGGGTTTTGGGACAAGAGACTACCGATAGAGTAGAGATTATATTTGTATATAATTATGTGCAGGGTATTTGGTCATTGTTTAGTCACTAAATCATTAAATCATTGAGTTATGAAAAATTTGATATTCGGTAATGACAGTGTGAAGATTATGTTTGGATAGGTCCTTTTATATGTATAGTCATTTGGTCATGTTTGTTTAGCCATTTTGTTATTGTAATGTGCATAGTCATTTGGTTATATCTGTTTTGTCATTGAGTTATTGTGATTTATGAAAAATTAATAGTTTGTAATGACAATGTGGAGATCATGTTTGAAGAGATCCCTGATTTATGTATGTTTAGCTATTGAGTTACGTGATTTATGTCTGTTTAGCTATTGAGTTACCGTGATTTATGTCTACTTAGTTATTGAGTCATCGTGATTTATGTCTGTTTAGTCATTGAGTCATCGTGTTTTACATTGTTTAGTCATTGAGTCATCGTGTTTTACGAAAAATTGATAGAGATGAGTATGAGAGACAGGCAGACAGGGAGTGAATTGGAATATGTTGGTTTGTAAATGGGTAGTTTTAGGAAAGAGTTATATAGGGGAGAGGATAAGGAAGGGGGGTTCACATGGGATTACAGCTGTAGGTAAGCCTTTTTTGGGTTGCAGAAGGCCATGTGCTATGGGGGCAGAGCGCAAAAAGTGATGTGAGATTAGCGTTTCTAACGGAGATTCTTTTTGGTATTCTATTCCTTTTCTCAGATTAACCCTAAACCCTACACTTTATTTGATTCCGTTCCAATGTCGAATGAATTTCGAGTTAATGACACGTGGGAGGTGATTACAAACCCTAACGCGTATTTATGATGGGGAAGACTTAATTGTGAAAGAGACTCATAACGGATAATTAAGTTTAAATTTTGAAAAATTCCTTCTTCCTATGGTGCCTACTTGGTATATTGTTAAATTTTATTCTAAAAAAATAATATTCGAGTTATTTTCCAAACAAAGAAAATAATTATTTCAATGAGATCTAATATTAATCTATTCTTGTATTTTAAAAGTTAGTGACTCTTATAAGAAGTCTTATAAATTCTTATTCGTGAGATGAATTGAGTATATTTTAACGGATTAGAGATTGATTGATTGATTGTAATTTAGGAAGGAAACTATAATATTCATGAGTTGTAATTTAAGAAGGAAATTATAATATTTATGATAAAAATATAATATTAAGATTTGAAAAATTACTTATGAAAGAAAGTATAGTATTTACGAAGAAGATCGGTTCATCGCTCATCCTTGACCGAAGGTTATATTGTGGTCAATCTCGGACCAATCCAATCTATAACATGTGGATGAGGTTTACCAATTTTAGAAGCTACAATCTGTGTGATTTTGTTGTCAAAATAAAGAGATTAATTTCCTAATTCAAAATGTTTTTCTTTTCATTGCAATACAAGAGTTTTTATAATCCCGTCTTGCTTTTTCAATTGTTCGATTGCATAAGTCGTAAAATCAATATACGCATCGTATACAGGGGATCAAAACTAAAAGTTGTGTGTTTCTACAAGAATGTTGGGTTTTGACTCTATTGCTTCCACCTTTTAAGTGCACAGCAAGTTTGAAAGTTTCATGATTTTATTACGTGTTAATACTTAATATAGTCCTTGATTATAGTGGTTTTACTTAATATAGTTCTTAATGACTTTTTTGTACTCAACTAGTATTTTCACCCGTGCGATGCACGGAATGGAATTATTGTAATATACTAAGAATATTTAAATCGATATATAATTATTTAAGAGTTAATTTCACCAGAGGTCGCTTATAGGATTTCTATTACCATCATTAATTATCCCTAATCTACCATAATTAAATAATTTGACCAATTATATAGAGAAATTATTAAAAAATGCACGGGACAATTTTTTAATTAAAAAATTTAAAAATTCATTAATAAAACATAAAGTTCTTATAGTTTTTTCTTAAAAACTATTTAATAACGCATTTTTTTTTTTTTAGAAATTGGTGTGTCAAACCGCCGTAGGCGGTTTGCGGTGGATATATCTCGAAAAAATACACAATTTCAAAAAAACATTTGTCCAAAACGGACGACCGAGTCAAAACTTATGCATTGCCGAACTTTTGACACTTTACAGCTTTTACCCAGAATTATTGTACGAATGGAAAGTAGAAATCAATATATTTTATTGGGAAGAGAGATTTTTTAGGAATTGGGCGGGAAGTTAAAATTTCAGGATTTTGTTTTGTATATATAGTATAGATTAGATGTGCAAAGAGAATTGCATTACACTATTTTAGAATTTTAGAATAGAATTTTTACCCCGAATTATTATACGAATGGGAAAGTAGAAGTCAATATATTTTATTGGGAAGGGAGATTTTTTAGGAATTGGGCGGGAAGTTAAAATTTCAGGATTTTGTTTTTATATATATAGTATAGATAGTATAGATTAAACGTGCCAAGATAATTGTATTACACTATTTTAAAATTTTAGAATAGAATTTTTACCCAGAATTATTGTACGAATGGGAAAGTAGAAATCAATATATTTTTTTTTGGAAGAGAGATTTTTTAGGAATTGGGCGGAAATATAAAATTTCAGGATTTTGTTTTTATATATAGTATAGATTAGATGTGCAAAGAGATTTGTATTACATTATTTTATAATTTTAGAATAGAATTTTTACCTAGAATTATTGTACGAATTAGAAAGTAGAAATCACTATATTTTATTGGGAAGAGAGATTTTTTTTGAATTTGGCGAAAAGTTAAAATTTCAAGATTTTGTTTTTATATATAGTATAGATTAGATGTGCAAAGAGAATTGTATTACACTATTTTATAATTTTAGAATAGAATTTTTACCCAGAATTATTGTACGAATAGGAAAGTAGAAATCATTATATTTTATTGGGAATAGAGATTTTTTAGGAATTGGGCGGGAAGTTAGAATTTCAGGATTTTGTTTTTATATATAGTATAGACTAGTATTTTCACCCGTGCGATGCACGGAATGGAATTATTGTAATATACTAAGAATATTTAAATCGATATATAATTATTTAAGAGTTAATTTCACCAGAGGTCGCTTATAGGATTTCTATTACCATCATTAATTATCCATAATCTACTATAATTAAATAATTTGACCAATTATAAAGAGAGATTATTAAAAAATGCACGGGACAATTTTTTAATTAAAAAATTTAAAAATTCATTAATAAAACATAAAGTTCTTATAATTTTTTCTTAGAAACTATTTAATAACGCATTTTTTTTAAAAATTGGTGGGCCAAACCGCCCGGCAGTTTGCGGTGGATATATCTCGAAAAAATACACAATTTCAAAAAACATTTGTCCAAAACGGACAACCGAGTCAAAACTTATGCATTGCCGAACTTTTGACACTTCACAGCTTTTACCCAAAATTATTGTACGAATGGAAAGTAGAAATACATTTTATTGGGAAGAGAGATTTTTTAGGATTTTGGCAGTAAGTTAAAATTTCAGAATTTTGTTTTTATATATAGTATAGATTAAATGTGCAAAGAGAATTGTATTATACAATTTTATAATTTTAGAATATAATATTTACCCTAAATTATTGTACGAATGAGAAAGTAGAAATCAATATATTTTATTGGAAAGAGAGATTTTTTAGGAATTGGGCGGGAAGTTAAAATTTCAGGATTTTGTTTTTATATATAGTATAGATTAGATTAGATGTGCAAACAGAATTGTATTACACTATTTTATAATTTTAGAATAGAATTTTTACCCAGAATTATTGTACGAATGGGAAAGTAGAAATCAATATATTTTATTGGGAAGAGGGATTTTTTAGGAATTGGGCGGAAATTTAAAATTTCAGGATTTTGTTTTGTATATATAGTATAGATTAAACGTGCCAAGAGAATTGTATTACACTATTTTAAAATTTTAGAATAGAATTTTTACCCAGAATTATTGTACGAATGGGAAAGTAGAAATCATTATATTTTATTGGGAATAGAGATTTTTTAGGAATTGGGCGGGAAGTTAAAATTTCAGGATTTTGTTTTTATATATAGTATAGATTAGATGTGCAAAGAGAATTGTATTACACTATTTTAGAATAGAATTTTTATCCAGAATTATTGTACGAATAGAAAGGTAGAAATCATTATATTTTATTTGGAATAGAGATTTTTTAGGAATTGGGCGGGAAGTTAAAATTTCAGGATTTTGTTTTTATATATAGTATAGATTAGACGTGCAAAGAGAATTGTATTACACTATTTTAAAATTTTAGAATAGAATTTTTACCCAGAATTATTGTACGAATGTGAAAGTGGAAATCATTATATTTTATTGGGAATAGAGATTTTTTAGGAATTGGGCGGGGATGTTCACGATTTTGTTTTTATATATAGTATATAGATTAGATTAGATGTGCAAAGAGAATTGTATTACACTATTTTATAATTTTAGAATAGAATTTTTACCCAGAATTATTGTACGAATGGGAAAGTGGAAATCAATATATTTTATTGGGAAGAGGGATTTTTTAGGAATTGGGCGGAAATATAAAATTTCAGGATTTTGTTTTGTATATATAGTATAGATTAGATGTGCAAAGAGAATTGTATTACAATATTTTAGAATTTTAGAATAGAATTTTTACCTAGAATTATTGTACGAATGAGAAAGTAGAAATCACTATATTTTATTGGGAAGAGAGATTTTTTTTGAATTGGGCGAAAAGTTAAAATTTCAAGATTTTGTTTTTATATATAGTATAGATTAAACGTGCAAAGAGAATTGAGTTACACTATTTTAAAATTTTAGAATAGAATTTTTACCCAGAATTATTGTACGAATAGGAAAGTAGAAATCATTATATTTTATTGGGAATAGAGATTTTTTAGGAATTGGGCGGGAAGTTAAAATTTCAGGATTTTGTTTTTATATATAGTATAGATTAGATGTGCAAAGAGAATTGTATTACACGATTTTATAATTTTAGAATATAATTTTTACCCAGAATTATTGTACGAATGGGAAAGTATAAATCAATATATTTTATTGGGAAGAGAGATTTTTTAGGAATAGGGCGGAAATTTAAAATTTCAAGATTTTGTTTTTATATATAGTATGGATTAGATGTGCAAAGAGAATTGTATTACACTATTTTTTAATTTTAGAGTAGAATTTTTACTCGGAATTATTGTACGAATAGGAAAGTAGAAATCATTATATTTTATTGGGATTAGAGATTTTTTAGAAATTGGGCGGGAAGTTAAAATTTCAAGATTTTGTTTTTATATATAGTATAGATTAGACGTGCAAAGAGAATTGTATTACACTATTTTAAAATTTTAGAATAGAATTTTTACCCAGAATTATTGTACGAATGTGAAAGTAGAAATTAATATATTTTATAGGAAAGAGAGTTTTTTTAGGAATTGGGCGGGAAGTTAAAATTTCAGGATTTTGTTTTTATATATAGTATAGATTAGATTAGATGTACAAAGAGAATTGTATTTCACTATTTTATAATTTTAGAATAGAATTTTTACCCAGAATTATTGTACGAATGGGAAAGTAGAAATCAATATATTTTATTGGGAAGAGAGATTTTTTAGGAATTGGGCGGGAAGTTAAAATTTCAGGATTTTGTTTTTATATATAGTATAGATAGATTAGATGTGCAAAGAGAATTGTATTACACTATTTTATAATTTTAGAATAGAATTTTTACCCAGAATTATTGTACGAAAGGGAAAGTAGAAATCAATATATTTTATTGGGAAGAGAGATTTTTTAGGAATTGGGCGGAAAGTTAAAATTTCAGGATTTTGTTTTTATATATATAGTATAGATATAGTATAGATTAGATGTGCAAAGAGATTTGTATTACATTATTTTATAATTTTAGAATAGAATTTTTACCTAGAATTGTTGTACGAATGAGAAAGTAGAAATCACTATATTTTATTGGGAAGAGAGATTTTTTTTTGAATTGGGCGAAAAGTTAAAATTTCAAGATTTTGTTTTTATATATAGTATAGATTAGATGTGCAAAGAGAATTGTATTACACTATTTTATAATTTTAGAATAGAATTTTTACCCAGAATTATTGTACGAATAGGAAAGTAGAAATCATTATATTTTATTGGGAATAGAGATTTTTTAGGAATTGGGCGGGAAGTTAGAATTTCAGGATTTTGTTTTTATATATAGTATAGACTAGTATTTTCACCCGTGCGATGCACGGAATGGAATTATTGTAATATACTAAGAATATTTAAATCGATATATAATTATTTAAGAGTTAATTTCACCAGAGGTCGCTTATAGGATTTCTATTACCATCATTAATTATCCCTAATCTACTATAATTAAATAATTTGACCAATTATAAAGAGAGATTATTAAAAAATGCACGGGACAATTTTTTAATTAAAAAATTTAAAAATTCATTAATAAAACATAAAGTTCTTATAGTTTTTTTCTTAGAAACTATTTAATAACGCATTTTTTTTAGAAATTGGTGGGCCAAACCGCCCGGCAGTTTGCGGTGGATATATCTCGAAAAAATACACAATTTCAAAAAACATTTGTCCAAAACGGACAACCGAGTCAAAACTTATGCATTGCCGAACTTTTGACACTTCACAGCTTTTACCCAAAATTATTGTACGAATGGAAAGTAGAAATACATTTTATTGGGAAGAGAGATTTTTTAGGATTTTGGCAGTAAGTTAAAATTTCAGAATTTTGTTTTTATATATAGTATAGATTAAATGTGCAAAGAGAATTGTATTATACAATTTTATAATTTTAGAATATAATATTTATCCTAAATTATTGTACGAATGAGAAAGTAGAAATCAATATACTTTATTGGAAAGAGAGATTTTTTCGGAATTGGGCGGGAAGTTAAAATTTCAGGATTTTGTTTTTATATATAGTATAGATTAGATTAGATGTGCAAACATAATTGTATTACACTATTTTATAATTTTAGAATAGAATTTTTACCCAGAATTATTGTACGAATGGGAAAGTAGAAATCAATATATTTTATTGGGAAGAGGATTTTTTAGGAATTGGGCGGGAATTTAAAATTTCAGGATTTTGTTTTGTATATATAGTATAGATTAAACGTGCCAAGAGAATTGTATTACACTATTTTAAAATTTTAGAATAGAATTTTTACCCAGAATTATTGTACGAATGGGAAAGTAGAAATCATTATATTTTATTGGGAATAGAGATTTTTTAGGAATTGGGCGGGAAGTTAAAATTTCAGGATTTTGTTTTTATATATAGTATAGATTAGATGTGCAAAGAGAATTGTATTACACTATTTTAGAATAGAATTTTTACCCAGAATTATTGTACGAATAGGAAGGTAGAAATCATTATATTTTATTGGGAATAGAGATTTTTTAGGAATTGGGCGGGAAGTTAAAATTTCAGGATTTTGTTTTTATATATAGTATAGATTAGACGTGCAAAGAGAATTGTATTACACTATTTTAAAATTTTAGAATAGAATTTTTACCCAGAATTATTGTACGAATGTGAAAGTGGAAATCATTATATTTTATTGGGAATAGAGATTTTTTAGGAATTGGGCGGGGATGTTCAGGATTTTGTTTTTATATATAGTATAGATTAGATTAGATGTGCAAAGAGAATTGTATTACACTATTTTATAATTTTAGAATAGAATTTTTACCCAGAATTATTGTACGAATGGGAAAGTGGAAATCAATATATTTTATTGGGAAGAGGGATTTTTTAGGAATTGGGCGGGAAGTTAAAATTTCAGGATTTTCTTTTGTATATATAGTATAGATTAGATGTGCAAAGAGAATTGTATTACAATATTTTAGAATTTTAGAATAGAATTTTTACCTAGAATTATTGTACGAATGGGAAAGTAGAAATCAATATATTTTATTGGGAAGAGAGATTTTTTAGGAATTGGGCGGAAAGTTAAAATTTCAAGATTTTGTTTTTATATATAGTATAGATTAAACGTGCAAAGAGAATTGAGTTACACTATTTTAAAATTTTAGAATAGAATTTTTACCCAGAATTATTGTACGAATGGGAAAGTAGAAATCAATATATTTTATTGGGAAGAGAGAATTTTTAGGAATTGGGCGGGAAGTTAAAATTTCAGGATTTTGTTTTTATATATAGTATAGATTAGATGTGCAAAGAGAATTGTATTACACGATTTTATAATTTTAGAATATAATTTTTACCCAGAATTATTGTACGAATGGGAAAGTATAAATCAATATATTTTATTGGGAAGAGAGATTTTTTAGGAATAGGGCGGAAATTTAAAATTTCAGGATTTTGTTTTTATATATAGTATGGATTAGATGTGCAAAGAGAATTGTATTACACTATTTTTTAATTTTAGAGTAGAATTTTTACCCGGAATTATTGTACGAATAGGAAAGTAGAAATCATTATATTTTATTGGGATTAGAGAGTTTTTAGAAATTGGGCGGGAAGTTAAAATTTCAAGATTTTGTTTTTATATATAGTATAGATTAGACGTGCAAAGAGAATTGTATTACACTATTTTAAAATTTTAGAATAGAATTTTTACCCAGAATTATTGTACGAATGTGAAAGTAGAAATTAATATATTTTATAGGAAAGAGAGTTTTTTTAGGAATTGGGCGGGAAGTTAAAATTTCAGGATTTTGTTTTTATATATAGTATAGATTAGATTAGATGTACAAAGAGAATTGTATTTCACTATTTTATAATTTTAGAATAGAATTTTTACCCAGAATTATTGTACGAATGGGAAAGTAGAAATCAATATATTTTATTGGGAAGAGAGATTTTTTAGGAATTGGGCGGGAAGTTAAAATTTCAGGATTTTGTTTTTATATATAGTATAGATAGATTAGATGTGCAAAGAGAATTGTATTACACTATTTTATAATTTTAGAATAGAATTTTTACCCAGAATTATTGTACGAAAGGAAAAGTAGAAATTAATATATTTTATTGGGAAGAGAGATTTTTTAGGAATTGGGCGGAAAGTTAAAATTTCAGGATTTTGTTTTTATATATATAGTATAGATATAATATAGATTAGATGTGCAAAGAGATTTGTATTACACTATTTTAGAATAGAATTTTTCCCCAGAATTATTGTACGAAATAGGAAGGTAGAAATCATTATATTTTATTGGGAATAGAGATTTTTTAGGAATTGGGCGGGAAGGTAAAATTTCAGGATTTTGTTTTTATATATAGTATAGAAGTATAGATAGATTTAGTCAACTTTGATGGTATTACACAATTTAGTCCTTTGTTAAACATTATCTTAGTTGACTCTTAGAAATAGGGTCTTAATAATAATTTCTCATCCTTCATCCTATTTGGAATGATTCCTTCTTCGTCCCCTTATTAAGATCAACACAAAAATACAAATCTTCATACACAAATCATCTTCAACCTACACAAAAATAAACATTTGTCTAACCTTCCCTCCTTAAAAATAAAAAATAAAAAATACAATTTTTCCTTCGTTAATATCATTCCCCCATCACAATGAATGCTACATATTTGACTACTAATGTTCAAAACTTGAAGGTTAATTATTCAATTCATAATATCGATAGCAGCACATCCCCAAATATTGTTTAAGTCACATAACTGGGATGCCAGCAGAGAAAGCTTAATTAGGATCATGAAAGAAGAAAAATGAACATGTTCGAATCTATTCCATTTCATCGAAAATAAATCAATGAGTGAACCTGACAGCTTAAATGAGTTCTGAAACTAGTATCAGACTATCAGTTACTTACAGTTATGATGAACAGGAACATAATCTGGATACACAAAGATTAGCAAAATGGTTGAACATGATGTTCACCAAAATCCTGCTACTTCTTGTAAGCTCTACATTCGGGTGAATTCTCCCTTAGCGGTGATAATGGCAGCCTCGACGAATCAACATTACTGAAGTCAATCTTTCTCTCAATGGAGGAGCTGTTGGTCTTGGAACACAATTTTCTTTTGTTTCCCTGCTAACCATTGTAGAATTTAGTACCGTAAAACTGCATTAAATAACACATGCAACAAGCACAGAACAGAGGAACATGAAAACAGGCTTAAATCAGAAGATTTTGTTGTGTTGTTTTTATCTGACCTTTGTGGAAGTACAGCCTGAGTTCTTTCCGCCAGAACTAGAACTATGCTTATCTCTGTGATATAGCTCCAATATCCTCTTGTTCTCCTCATCCAACATATTGTTTTCTTCAAACAATACTTTCACCTAAATCACACCAAAGGTACATTACTACAGGCTTCCCAGGAATGAAATAGTTTTACCATTGCATAAATCTACAAACCTCCTCTTCAGCTCTGTGAAGGTTAATCAATAAGTGTTCCTTATCTTTCTGCAATGTTTTTACTTCAGCTGCCAATGCAAGAAACTTGTGTTCCGATGGTCTCAATCTATCATGAGAAAAAACAACAAAACAAAAAAACAGTTTCAGCTGGATGGAGACTTCACGAATACAGAGTAACAATCTATCAACTGAGACAAACCAATATTAATTAGCATTATGCATTACCTATTCCACATCTTTAGCAATACTTGGCAAACTTCGACATTGCTATTTGCCTCTAGAAAACCATGTGCTTTTGATTGAAGTTCATCTTTGCTCATTATGCTTGCCAACAAAGACTCTAGCAAAACTTGTCCTGTAGATGCATCCTCTCCAGATGTATCAACCTTCACGAGTATAATTTTTAATGAATTGTTAGACTCTATAGAATAAAAAATCACTGCAATGATAACTAGAATTCTTATTGTTCTCAAAGTAGACAGAATTCTGAGTAAAGGAAGATAGAATTCCTGGTTCTGTAACATAAATAATGTACAAGTTGACCAAAAAAAGTTGGCCAATTGCTTTCCTACAAATGGAAGATGGGAAGCATAGCCCTTGGCCCTGCAAACAAGTTATTTGGAGACCAATGTCAAATAGTAATGTGACTGCCAACAATTCTGCCATTTTAACTAGAATTTATAACCACTTATAAGTTGTAACAATGAAAACTGCCAACAAAAGGACAGAAGTTGTCCCCACAGTAACAGAAATTTCTTGACCAGCTTATATATTTTCTTCCCCCATTGATGTTGATAATATAAAAAGATAGGGAATTTCCTCTCCAAGCTTTCATCAGATAGTGATATGCTATAAATAAAAGACAGAACTCCATCACTTGGAAACACACATTGTTTGTAGTAAAAAATACAAACTATCTAATTCTTAACTATCCTTTCTGAAGTCTATTTATTCAAAGAAACAGAGCATGTGATACCAAAAAAAAAAAAAAAAAAAAAAAAAAAAAAGTTAAAACGGTCGCTCATTTGAGTCATTTCTGAATATTTATCCAAACTATAGAGACCCAATTTCTTTTACAGTCGTTTTGATTATGACATGTATTCCTTTATAATTGGTAGCATAGATATTGCTAATTTTCTCAGTTCATGATGGCCAAGGCACTCTCATATCCTAGGCCATTGAATAACTCTTCTGAGGTTCTACTCAATTATATACTGCTATTATGCACAAAACCAGAAATCAACACCAAATTGCACATAAAATTTGCAAAAAATTAGAAACAGAAAAGGGGGAGGAAGGAAGAGAATGCAGCCAGTAACCTGTTGGGCCTCGTACTTGTAGAACCGAAATTCCTCCTCCATTTTCTGCACCTCCTCCTCTAACTCGCGCACGCGTATCTCGGCCTCCTTGGCCCTCTGGTCCGCCTCATTCCCAAAATCCATCAATGCCTCTCGGTCACGGTCGTACAACGAGCACTCTCTCTCCCATCTCTTGCACTGCGCCAACAAATTCGAGCACTCCACCGCCAGTCTCTGATTCTCCTCCACGAACTTCTTCAACGCAGCCGCATTCATACTCGCCTCAGCCTAAAAATTGAATAGTCTTCAAAAAAAAACTATAGAGACCCATAAAAAAGAGAAGCGAAAGAGGAGAATATGCAAACCCTAGTGCGCTCAACGACGTCATCCTTTTCTTTTAGTTTCGATTGCAAGAAAAGACAGTGATTGCGGAGCAGGAGAAGTGATTGTTCGGACGCTTGAAGCTTCAATTGAAGAGTTTGAGTCGAGACGGGGAGGCCAAGAGTGTGCTCGATCGATTCTCGAATATAATCATCAGTTTCACGAGAAATCTCCATCTTTTTTACTGAACTTCCAAAAATCCAGAAGAATCTATCACCAGAGAAATTCGAAGCGCCGAACAATCTCAATGAGTGAGGAATGCGAGAGAGGTGGGGCTGATCGGAAACTGGGATTTTGGGTCTGCTCAGAAAAGATTGGAAAATTTTTTGAGATTTCAAATTGGGGAAGTGGAGGCCTAGCCGTTACATCTGGTTTTTGAAGTGAATGTTGTGGGGTCACGTGGTCATACCAAAGGCTTGGATTTTTTTTATTATTTTTTTTTTTTGGAGAGATTTTGATCCTCGCCGTCCAATCGATTTCAAAATATCAAACAAATTCCACTTTTAATCTAGTAACTATTGTCATATTTTCACATATTATTTTTGAGTTTTAATTTGATCATATTTGAGTTTTTGAGTTTTCTATTCCTTCACCATTTTTTCTTTCATTTCCCGCCCTATTTCTCTTTACGTTTAATTTTATTTGTCGTTTCTGTATTTTCTCGTTGTTTTGACGAGTTATTTTCGCTTGTTTACTTTGTGAGTTATTTTTTCATAAAGCGTGAAACAATATAACTGGTCATGGCGTATGTGAATCTCATCTTGGGTGACAAACATGATAATGAAAAGGGACTTCTCTGAATTATGATATGCAGTTCTGCCTGATGGAGATATTGTCCATGGATAGAATAGTGGAAATAGATACTCAGGTGGTGTGCAAAACTATTCAACCACTGTCAGTCTTGGATATGTTTAACTAAATCATTAAAGAAGCTTTAAGTTCCTTTCAAAGAATCCACATTAAAATTTGTGAAACAATATGCGAATCAAGTTTTCTCGAGTATTGCTACGGAAGTTGTTTCTATGTCTGACTGTAAGGAATGTTTAAACATTTCATCTATCTTTATTGTAAACGTTTCAAACCTATGATTAATGAATTAGCTTATATATTTTCAACAAAAAATATATATATATATATTTAGGTTTCGTTTAATGCACGGAAAGTATTTTTGAAAATAAATTATATTTTGAAAAATATTTTTATTCTTTTAGTGTTTGGTTAAAGTCATCAAAATATAAAATGGTACTCCATTTGTCCTATTTTAGGTGTATGGTTCGATTAACAATGATTACTGAAATTATTTTTAATTCAAATTTTCATAATGTTAAATTTAATATTAGTATTTAAAAATCAATATATTTATAAACTAAATTAAAAATACTATTAAACACAAAAATCAAATTTTAAAATAATAAAAAAAATATTCAAGAAAATAAGTAAAGAAAAAATAGTTGGTTTGACAAATAAATAGTAAATATGATAGATAAAATGAGACAAAGAGATTTTTTCTGTTTGGCGAAAAACTAGAAATTTTATATTTTTTCTATTTAAATCTTTTCTAAAAACATGAATATAAATTTAATATAAAATTAAAATTTATAAAATATTCATTATTTTAATGATAATAATTATTATTATTTATATTAAAATACAATTATAAAATAAAATTTGCAATAGTTATGATTAGATTAATAATAATTACAATAAAAATATGTAAATTAATAATAATTTTTAAAAAATAATACTTTTCAATTAATATTTAAAAGAAAAGTAATTTTTTTTTAGTTAACATGTAATATTTTTTTTTAAAAAAAAAAATTAATAATCTTAAGTTAAAATGTACTCCGTAATAGTTTTTAATTAAAAAATAAATATTTTAAGAAAAATGTAATATTTTCAGTAAGACTTTCCAGTGAATATATATTACTTTTTAAGAAAGAATTCATTACTTTTGAGTGATAATGTAATTCGTTTATAATAAAAAAAAAATATTTTTTTAAAAAAAATATTTTGGTTATGGGTGAGTCAAATATTTTTATAGTTTTGTGCAATTCGATTATACTCATATTTTAGTTGGACTAATCCAATCTAATTTAAATAATAACTAAAAAAATGATGGGTCAATCTGCCTATTTGACACCAATGGGCAATTTATATCCTGCATCACAGCGCGCGTTGCATTGTGCGCCCAGATGTAAAACGACGTCGTTTCAGTTTCTTTTTTTTTTTTTTTTTTTTTTTTTTTTGAAATTTCGCTACCCAGTGTTTGACGGTTAATTTTTTTTTTTTTTTTAAATCTCATGTTAAAAAATGTACATAATATTATACATGAATGTACATAATTGTATACATGAATGTACATAATTGTATAACAAAATATACATACTGTTTTTTAAAAGATAATGCACATAATCTAACATAATACATAATAAACATAAACTTTTAACATAATACACATCAACTCTTAGCATAATACACAAAAATTTCCTGATTCGAATGTACATAATTGTATAAAAAAATGTACATAATTGTATAAAAAATGTACATAATTGTATAAAAAATGTACATAATAAAAAAATACATAATTGTATGAACAAATATACATAATCACAGCAACTTCCTACCGCGCATTCCAAAACGACGTCATTTTGGGAGGCGCGCGACACACAGTGCTACGCGCACCGTGGTGTAGGGTATAACGATTGCCACTCAATGGGAGAGAAAGAGAGAACTGAGCATGATATAAGAATCCATAAAATATCTTCCAGGTAAAAAAGTTTGAATGCATTTTATGTCAAAATAGGTCATTTTCATTTAACCGGATTGAATATTTACTTTATTTTTCGTTAATAACCAAACACGGAAAAAGTTAAAATAAAAATAATTTTCAGAAGTTATTCTTTGAGTTTTTATGTGTTGCATTCAAAATATTTTATTTTAATATTTTTATGAGAAAATGATAAATTACATCCCCGAACTTTATATAAGAAGTGCATTAGACCTTCGAACTTTTGAAAGTTGCAATAAGCATATAAGCAAGTCAATTTAGTGCATCAAGACCCAAAAATTGGTTAATGACATGTAATAACAAGTCACTAGGGTTCCACCAGTTGTCTGACGAAGTTTCGGGTGAAAACTGATGATGGACGACTAGTAGGTCGGCAGAGAAAACGTTACAGTTAGTCGCCTTCTCCATCACCTGGAGAAGGTGTCACAATTTGGTCGCCATCTCGGATCGCTAGAAAAGGCGACCAACTGCGGTATCTTCTCAGGACAGTTGGTCGCTCGTCCCCGATTTTCACCTAAAAGTAACAAGAACATCGTCAGAATCCTAGTGACCTATTATTACATGTAACTAACCGGTTTTTAGGTCTTGATGCACTAAATTGACATGTTTACGTGTTTAATTGCAACTTTCAAAAAGTTTGATGGCTTAATTGGCTTTTCGTATAAAGTTTAAAGGTGTATTTTACCATTTTTCCTTTTTTTTTTATATAAAAAAAAAAAAAAATCTTCTTACCCCTCCTAATTTTTCCTCTTCTAACTTTCCTACATGACATGACTTATAATTTTTGGGTGTCATGAATTGACTAACCCTATTAACTTTTAATAAAAAAAAAAAATAAAGTAACAAATTAAGCAATGTCATGTTAAGATGAAAATTTATATAGAATGAATAACATTACTCTTTTATAAATAGCACACGGGGGTGTTGAAAGCTTACCAAAACACATTTCTACTAATGCTTTATCTCACAACCTCCCACTTAAATGAATTAACTTGGTGCCATTAGATCACAAGATCCTTAACACATACATGTATATTTGATTTTATAAATAAATAAATAAATAAATATATATATATATATATATATATATATATATATATATATATATATATATATTTCTTTATTATTATTATTATTATACAAGAATTAGTTAACGAGAACAAAATTAAAATAATATAAATAATTTAAAATTACCTAACAAAATGGAATAATTTCATCATCTTGAAATATTATTACCACATAATTTTTAAAATAATATAACATTATTAAGTAATTTCATAACTTGAAAAAAAAAAAAAAAAAAAAAAGTAACGTATCACACCTCACAAGTAATCTACGATTACAAACGCCCCTAAAAAATAACAGCTCTTTCTTTATTGCCGAGTTTTATAAGCGAACTAGTCCAGTAGAACTATAGAATACTGGAATCTGATAGACCCTAGCCAAGCAGCTAGTATAGTCTACTATTCTATCTTTGCTCTATTTCAATTCCTTCACTTACTACTCTTTCTGTTGTAATTTTCATTTTAGTCTCAGTGTCTATTTGAATGATTCTTGTCTAGGAAATGGAACTGCAGCTCGCTGTAAGAACGCAATTTTCACACTCTCCCCCAACAACGACAGCTTCTTTCTGGAGAAACAAACCGATTAATCCCATGATTTCTTCTTCAAGGTTGCAGCTTTTTTGTCCTCCACCTCTATCACTATCACTATCACTATTCAGCTCTCCTTGTCTGGTGTGCCCTTTTCTCTTATCTGATTTTTTGTGTCTCTCTGTTTCTTATTATTAGCTTGTGCGTTTGTCTTGCAATTAGCCCTTGTGAAATTGGGTCATGAAATCAGGTTGCTAGGTTGAGGGAAAGTGGATTGAGAGCTTCAAAAGTAGAAGAATTGCTTAAATTTCGTGATGGAAATGATGATGATGATGAAGGGTCTGAATCCGATAGGGATGAAATGGAGGGTGATGATTCGTTTGTAATGGATGAGGAAGAGAGGCTGGAGTGGAGGAGAAAGATTAGGGAAGTTATGGATATGCGTCCTGAGGTTGAGGAAGAGGTAGACCCTGTTGAGAAGAGGAGAAAAATGGAGAAGCTTTTGGCTGATTACCCTCTTATCGTGGACGAAGAAGACCCCAATTGGCCCGAGGATGCAGATGGTCGCGGTTTCAAGCTCGACCAGTTCTTCAACAAGATTTCCATTAAGAATGTCAAGAAGGATAACGATGATGGTGAGGGTTACGACAGTGAGAATGATATAGTGTGGCAGGATGATGACTATATTTGTCCAATTAAAGACTTGACCACCGCAGAATGGGAAGAGGCTGTGTTTAAGGATTTCAGTCCCTTGATTGTCCTTGTTCATAATCGTTATAGAAGGTATACCTCGTATTCAGTTTCGTTTCGTGTCACTCATTATCAGTTCTCTTTTCTTGGTTTGATAACCCGAATACTATTATCTTGAGCTGAGCTATTACTTGCTAGTGATATAAGGAGTAGCATTCTATGGAACTTTACTCCTTGCTTGTGCTATATCTCCATTTTGTGTTATTTTTCATC